AACAGGCTGAATATTTCTTTACGACAATAAAATAGTAAGTAAGTAATAGTTAGTTGTTATTTTTCAATTTTTTTAAACTTATTTATTGAAATACTTTCATTCATTACACATAAAACAATTTTTATGAAAAGTTTTTTTATAGCACTGAAAAATTTTTTAGTGCAACTACACTATAAATATGAATTAACTACATACTGTTTTGATATTTGGTACATAAATCCAGTGGTTGTATAAGACAAAACTGTTAAAAAATAATCAAATTTAATGAAAATATGTCAAATAAACGTATTAATTGGAGGCTTACCCGCAGTGCAAAAAAATTTTTTAGAGTTCTGCCAAATTTTTTCATTGTAAGTACACCGTATTGAAGTAATTTTCCGTTGGGTATGACTTTTTATACGGACAGAGTCATCGTAGAGAATTAAATGCCGATAAAATGCAAAATCCCCATGTTATTTGTATGGAAAAAAAGAAGTGCTCGGTGGCACGGCTTAATTTTAATTTATCGGACTATATTGAGTTTCTACATTAATTTTTGGTGCCAAAGCAATACATTAAGTTTGAACATTCATAATTGTTTGTGTCTTATCTTTGATCCTAATAAGAAGTATATATAAGTAAAAATTAACATTGTTCAAAATTTAAATACAAATATGAAGGTCTTATTTACCTTGTCAAAAATAAAATTAAAAAATGCATATGTCCGTGTGTAAATTTCTTCTAAGTCAATTTATTATAAAATATAACTGTAGTATTAAAATAAGATAATTCGCAGCTGTCAAAACTGAATACCTAACTATCATTGTGAAGGCAAAGGGGATAAAGTCGTTGGAATAGAAAGTCAAAAGATGAAAAAGAGGAAAAACAACAAGGAAAGACGAATTTAAGAAGAGGATAGAGAATGTATCATATTGGTGTACATTTCAGACAATGACTCTGTGTCATTTTGTCAGTTTATATCGTGTGTCTGTTTTTTAATATGAACCATCTCAGATTTTAATCTTTTTTTATAAGAAGGTTATATATCCAAGATTTCAACATTATCCCATTAAAATTATGATTTAATTTTAATCTATGTTCGATTATTACAGAAGGAAATTTT